ACCCACAGCACCAACATCTTAGGCCACCTCTGGCCAATAGTGCCAATTCTCCCACTGCATACTGTCATGAAGCCATTGGGTGTGAAAGGGTTTCCTCCCCAGCTGACATACATGCAAGGAGGGGAAAACAAGACAGCACGTGTGCCCCCTGTATGCACAAGTGATGCAAGTATGCATGGATGTGTCCAGAAATCCCTGCACAGAATCCTACACTGCAGGCTCAGTGTGATGGCCACACTGTTGGCTGACTCACTGGGGACTTCTAGGACTAAAACCATGAAAATCTATCTTGAGCTAAAAAGCAAAGGCTCCCTAACTCAGGCTGTAACCAAAGGTGCAACAGGGCTTTTCTATGGGGCAGCAAAGGCAGCTTGGCTGCTGGTGGTGGCAGGGCAGCAGCTGTCATGGCTGCCGTTTTTGTACCCCTACCCTCAAGCTGGCACCTGGGGCTGCTGCCCTCAGTGCCCCTTCCCCGTTCTTTAGTTACACTAGTGGCTGTGCCAACTGGTAAAAATGGGAACTTCATGCACACACATGGTATAGCTACACCATGAAACCAGCGCTTCCATAGAGGGCTGTTTTCAAGTGTGCCTTGCCTACACATACACCAAGCCCCACCCAAAATGCACCTGCGAAGCCACTCCAGGTGTCCTCCTGCAAGTGCTCTCCAGATCCATCTCTGCAATGCTTGAGTACACCTGTTGTAGTGCCCCAGAGACAATTTACAGCTGCATTACTAAGTTGGGCACATATAAAGCAGGGGGCAGGTAGAATTGGCCCTGTCCAGTGGCACCAGGGCTGTGGTGTAATCATAGCCAAAGTATTCTGCACCTCAGTATCAAAGCACAGTGCACTATCAGTGATAACGTCTCTGAGTTCTCTGGAACAGTCTATGAATGACCACAAGCTCTTTCAAGGAGCAGCCTGAGATTAGCTGTAGCAGAAGTTCCCATAGTCCCTGCTTGGCTTGGCAGCTGTGGTTTTCATTAATTAGCAGCACTGCATAGTTTCCAGAGTTCAAGCGCCTACAGGGAATAGTGTTACTTGATATCTAATGCTGGGGTTGGCAGTAGCTTTTAAATCTTGCCAGTAAGAACGCAGCTCCCAGGGGTATGTGGCTACTCTTTCTCCTGTTTTTTTTTTTTTCAGTGCTGCTGGATCCAATCTTAGATTTCATGGTGGGCCCTAGAGCAGCAGTTTCAGTTTGCTCTGGTTGGTCAATAATCCTGTCAGCAGAGCTTTTGTTCTGCATCCAAGACAAGAAAATAGAGCTAGGGTACAGCAATTTGCTTTACATTCCTGAAGGGACACAATGATCCCAGTTTCCCACTGTGACATTGCCAGCTGCATCCACGTCTCCCACAACATAACATCTCTGTTTTAAGCTAAATCACAGTTCTTGCACAGATCACGAGATGTCTGCTTCCAGCAGGAAAAGGAATACCCACAGTATAGGAGAAAGCAAATGACTGCCCTTTACAGACCCACCCTATTCCGCTTGCGCAAGAGACCCAAGCTATGATGTACACAGAACTGGAAGTGTCCCAGGACTGTCATGGAGCAAAGCATCCAAGCAAAGAACTCTATTGCCTGCCTGACCTCAGTTAAACCAAAAGCAGTGATGGGAAAGAAATAACTTGGGAGGATAAAAGAAGGGACAGCAAGGATAGGCGTATCCTACGCTGTTAGCAGAAACAAAGCAACAGTGTGGACAGACCCCTTCCATTTAAGTGGGTGGGAGAATTCACAATAAACACGGCCAGCTTGGGCTACCAACTTTCTCTCTTCTCAGATTGCAATTCCCTGGTCACAGTCAAGAGGTCCCCTGCAGACCAGCCAAACAGTCTTTCACCCAAGAGCCTGGCCCAAGAACATACCTGGAGCAGGAATCCAAATGACCACTCCTAGCCCTCACAGAATAAGTTTGGGGGTACACCCAAGTTCTGTAGCCATGGTTCTTCATTAAGGAAGTTCCCAAACCAATAACTCAACACCAGCACAGCCAGGCCAAGTGCCTTTTCAGCTTTGACCCTGCTGTTCTAGTTCCTAGTTCTCAGACAAACCACGTAAGCCTCCAGCCAGCTAGATGAGGAGGATGTGTGTTAGGCTACATGAAAGCCAAGATACCTCAGTCCTCTTCACCTCTCTCATGTATAGGCTGGCTGGGAAAATACAGAGGTCAGACTCTAAGCACAGTCCTGCTCACAAGACATCCAGAGAAGAGCAACAACTGCCCTACCCCCACCTCACCTCCCCAAGCCAAACCTTCAGGCTACAGGTAACCTAGTTCCTTCCATCACTTCTGGCTGCAGTTTGAGAACAGAGATTCTGCACATTTCAAAACATCAGAAAGGAAGCAGCAGGCAGCTACAATCTCAGTATCCTAACAAAGGGCTCCAAGAAGATATGCAGCTACTGCTATGCCACAGGTGCCAACAGTGGTAGGATCCAGACGACTCTATGAACCAGGGCTCTGCTCAATGAAGAGTGCAGGACCATTCCCCTGAGAATCAGATTGTGTCTTCTTGGCTCATAACAGTTGATCAAGGTATCTTGGAACAGTTCAAGTGGTAGAGGGTTCACCTGGAAAGGGGAGGCTTCCAGCCGAGACCCTGACTTCTCCATTCATGCTTCTGTGGGGAAAGGAGTGGTTTGGGAACAGCAAATTCTACACCTCTGCTGGAGATTGGGTAAAGTGATCACTGAGGTCCCTTCCAACCCTAGCATTGTATAGATCCTCCTCGTCCTCCCAACTAGCCAGAAGAACCTGGATTTAAAAAAAAAAAGACCTACTCCTGTCACGTCATTTATCAGACCACCTTTGTACTGAACCAGACACACTAGTTACCCACAGGCATAGGTGACTGGTGCCATCTGAGCAAGGGGACATGTGTCCCCCCCAGTGACAGTCAACGACTGGGGGGTGCCCCCTCACAGCTAATCTCGCCAACCGGGGGCTACGTAGTATAGAGACACGAGAAGTAATTCAACTATTTGGCTTAATTACCAGTAGGCGCGTCTATACAAGACACTTACTGCATAGCAGACTAATTTGATGTGAAGCAAAGTGTCACCATCTATACATACATGGCAATTGGGGCACAGTAGACTAATTTACTGAGCTGCCAGATAGTACTGTCAGATACAAGTAGTATCTGGCAACGCAGTAAATTACTGTGCTTAAATACATGTGTAGATGGTGACATCAGGATTGGTTTACTCCAGCTCAAATTGAGTCAGAGTATATACAGTCACATTAATTGCACACGTAGACACTCCCAGTCTAATCACAGCAGCCTAGGGTTGTTATGGGCTAAATTTATCCGGATAGCCTGCCACCCATACCTAAGCTAGCTGGTTTAAAAGCTACCCTAGCCATTTCTTCTTTGCATCGCAGTCTGGAGTGCAGACATACCTACCCTGATGGGCAAAGCAACTAGTCTGAGGACACCTAGCAGGCCAGTGGTAAAGTGAGGAACAGAACCCATGGCACAGCCTGCCAGTCCAGCATGCGATCCTCTGGATCTTGGGGCCTCCATCACACAGCAGCCAAGAAGCACACTAAGCCACTGTCTTCCTGCTTCTATAGGTCACCCAATGGGAGAAAAGCATCCCCCACCTTCAGTGCTTGTTGCATAGCAAGCCCAAGTGCCAGACTAGGAGGAGTGCATACTTCCCCTCTCCTCCCCTCTCCCCCTTCCACACCCCTCCACATACTCACAACACACTGCTTGTCTTTCAAAACTTTTTATTGTCAGCAAATAACAAAAAGAGTCAGTTTTGCTATCTCACTGTGGGAGAAGGGGGTGTTCTGGTGGAAAGGAGCCTGAAGGGGATACAGCTGTTGGCAAGGCAAGTTCCCTTAACCTAGTGTGCCCAGCTGGGTTGGAGACAGAGCACATGGTCTGTGGCTCTGCTACCATTACCTGCCTAGCAGGTAAGGAGTAGGGCAATGCAACGGCTGGGGCATTTATAAGGGGAGGGAGTGTATATCATAACCTGGGGAGTGTACATCATTCTCTGAAGCAGGAAGCACATTTACATCTGCTTATAAATAAACAAAGACATAAAAAGAACCACACACCACGAATGGGTCTCTTCAAAGCAGGCAGAGACAGGAGCCCTTGTACATTTCACAACACTCAGGTGTTTCCTAGCCACGGTCCCAACATTGCCAGACTCTCCCTACAGCCCTCACCGGCCTGCTGGGCATCGAAAGTGGAGAGAACTTCTATGGTGAAGACATGGTGCCTTGTGTACCACTGGGAGTGCTCCCTCCCTGACCATCTTAGATTGCAGTGCTCACCTTCATGCCCAGTGCCACTTTAGAGGGATGTGAGCTGCAGTCACACACTCCTCCTACAAACCAGGCTCTACTGGGTAGCACTGCTACTAGAATCCAGAGACCACCTACTGACCCGTCCTTGCAGAACAATACTCAGAAGCAGCTGCGTGGTATCCTCCCCCGGGACATAACCACAATGCAGAGGACTCCCCCCACTGCTAGGAAAGAACACAGGGTTGGCATACTGAGGGCTGGTTCCCGCAAAATCCATGCTCCCAGTACAGCTGCCTGGTGAAGAGAACGAGGCAACAGTTTGCCAAGTGACATAGCAGAGCATTACCCCAGAAAGAAACGTGGTGGTGGCCACTGATTCCCAGATAACACAGCACTTCCTGAGAAGCTGTATAGCCACTGACCAGACCTTCTGCCCTAGCAAGCCACGGGATGACAGTGACACAGCTGGAAGGCCACAAAGTCCTTCACTTGAGCTGTTGAGAGTCCCTGAGACAAGATCTTATCCTAACAATGTATCTGCTTGATGCCTGGGTGGGAATTTAGGCCTACAGCTTTCTCCCAAGCTCATTCCAGAAGGTTTTCTCCTTGGCACTCTAGGCACTGCCTAAAATAAGATTAAACTGTATGCTAAAGTAGAAGGTGCTCCCAAGCAGACCAGCTGGTACTTCTACCACACTTGCATCCTGCAATCCAAGTGACAGGCTACCCAGTGCCACCCCACCCCACTTTGTAGTGATTTGTGCCCTGATCTGCAAGCTCCTCTAACCTCACAGCCACGAGAAACAGCCAAGTCTCACACTGCTCTGGGACCGCAGTTCAATAGGGACGAGCTGGAATTCAGCACCGTTCAAGTGGCAGTGCAGCAAGTGCCTGCACTAGCTGTGGATCACATCAGGACTGCAAACTGGAACCCAGACAAGGCCCCTTCCCCCAGAACACCCCACATGGTCAGACCACTTGGAGAGGGTTTAAAATTGATGTGCCAGGTGACTAAGAGTTATGCCCATAAAAATTCTCCCTCAACCCCCACCCACTGCCTAGGATGCAATTGAGGGCATAGGGGTCAACAGAGAACCCCACTGAGGGTTTAGAAGAGAGTCAGGCATGTTGGGAGTGACCAGAGAGATGCTTTCTACCTTTGCCTTTAAACATCAAAGCTTATATTATAGACTATATTATAAAATCCAGAAGGCAGGGCCACCCTGCCCAGAATACAAACAGCAGAGAGAGCACAGCTCTGTGACCAGCCGGGCTAAGGTCTGCTCCAATGCGGGACTTCACCATCACCGAGCTAAGCTACTTCTACAAACAGGAGTTTAGTAATGAGGATGCAGTGTGAGTGGCCTGTGGTGGGCAGATAGGAAGGAACCTCCTAGGGCTGGTCCTTTGCTTCAGGGTCTTTGTCATAGATGTAACTTCCCACAGCTCCAGTGTTCACTCCTGCAGCAGAGACAAAGCCATGTGTCAGGGTAGGGCTGAGAGACCTGGGCAGGGCATGGAGGGCAGATATATCCCCAAAGACCTGGCAGGGGACCCTGTGCAGAACTCTAAGGATGAAAGTGCAGCCATGGAAGATGGGGACTGAGGAAGCCAGGAGAAAACCCAGCGCAGGAGACTGACACAAGCCTGTCCCTCCTTCCTCAGGAGCTAGCTCCAGGGTCTGACTCTGCCCTCCCTGCATGAAGGGAGCTCACCCAGTCCACCCTGCTGGACCTGACACCACAATCCAAGACTTGCTGACCCCAGAGGGAGAAGGGCAGCTGCACATTAGGGAACATATTTACCTATGGCACAGCCGCTGGATGCTGCCCTCTCTAAGGAACTAGGAAACCTCTGACTAGTCAAGCCCTTTGGGGGACTCCCTGCCCCAGGCTCTGGGAGAGCCAGGTTACCCCTACTCTATCTTCTCTCTACTGACTAAATCCTAGGATGGCAACACTCACAACACCCATTTAGTCCAATCGGTCTTCCCCTTCCACAGCCAGCTTAGCAAGGTCATCACCCACCCCACCTGGGTCTGTATGTACCAGGCAGGATTTGGGAACCTTGCCTTACTCCACTCTCATACCTGCTCTGTGGAGCTGCTGGCTGCACAGAGAGCCCTGCCGACCACCACCTGTCTAGCTGGACCATACAAACATGCGTGTTCAAATGCTACGCACCAGGCCATATTAGCATGCATGTTCAAGTGCTATACACTGTGGGGACACAGTGCCCACAGCCACCAAGAGCAGCAGCTGGCCCTCCTGCACCCTTCCTGCCCTTGCCTTTGACCCCTGGAAGTCTCCTCTCTCCCCCAGTTCTGTCACCCCTCTCCAACGATCCGCACTGCATGTAGCACACTTACCCTTTGGCCCAAAGAGGATCCCATAGCAGGGCTTATGGCAGTAGGGTTGCCCATCATGCTGCAGGAGGAGAGAAACACATCAGCACAGACACTACTCAACAGACACAGAGGACTGTCCTAGTAACCCTCCTAGGCCCCCCTGCTGAAGCCACAGCTGGGCAGCTGTGGAGCCACCAGGGAGCTGCCAGTCAAAGATGTGGGGGGATGTGGGCACAATTGAGGGGAGCAACA